CAGGTGTGAGGGCACAGGTGTGAGGGCACAGGTGTGATTGGCACAGGTGTGATGGCACAGGTGTAATGGCACAGGTGTGATTGGCACAGGTGTGATTGGCACAGGTGTGATGCCACAGGTGTGATGCCACAGGTCAGTAAGCCTAGCACTCAGGAGGCTGAAGCAGGAGCATAAAAGTTTGAGGCCTGTGTGGGTTATATGATGTGATCCTGTTTCATCAATTAATGAACAAAAAACCAAATCTGAAAGAAAAACTAAAAAGTGTTAGGCTATATCACAATGGCATTAGGCCAGGGAAGAATATTTATTTATTATCTCAAAATTTTTTCAAGATCATTGGGATACATTGTACTTTTCTATTCGATGTTTTGATTAGTTTGACATCTGTATACACTCTGAAATCATAGTCACACCAATATAACAAACCTTATTTTAGGGGATTGGGGGCTTGAGACAGGGTTTCTCTGTTTAGTCCTGGAACTTGCTCTGTAGACCAGGCTGGCCTCGAACTCAGAGATCCACCTGCCTCTGTCTTGTTGACCGTGTCTTTTGCCCTACAAAAGCTTCTCAGTTCCTTGAGGTCCCATTTATTAGTTGTTCAAACATTAATTTTTTTGTTCCTAATCCCAGCACTTGGGAGTCAGAGGCAGGTCTGAGCAGCTGTGGGACTGGCAGGTGATAGGGATTTATCCTGACTATGGGCAAGGCAGGAAAACTCTAGCTACAGGACCCTGTCTCAAAAACAAAGTCTGAAAAAATTGTAACAAAACGTGTTTTCTGTCTTGCTGGGAAGAGACCCAAAGGCCTTACGTGTAAGCAATCTATGTGGTTCTCACTATGTGACATTTTAGAAAAGGCCAGACTATGAAACCAGTAAAAAGATCAGTAGCTGCAAGAGTTTGAGGGTGGTGGGAAGGACAGACGAAAGAGGTAGAGTAGGGGGACTTTGGGGCTGTGAAGGTGAACTATGTCAGCCATATACTTGTCAAGCCACAGAGTGGGGGCTGGTGATGAGGCTCAGTGGAACAGAGCCAAGTTGGCATTCAGGAGGCCCTGGGTGTGATCCTCTATGCAAAACAAACAAAACCATAGACTGCACAACACAGAGTAACGGGGGGATGTAAATTACGGACGTTCGCTAATAATAGTACATTGATGGCAGTTCCTCAGTTGTAACAAATACATCACACTAAAGCAAAATGGTAAAAACAAAACAAGAAATGTATATAAAAAGAGGAAATGTATGTGGCAGCTCTATGCTTCCCACTCAGCGCATCTGTAAACCCAGGAAGCTAAGTCTCCGAGGAAGAGGAGATCAGCTGCAGCATATCCTACTGACCGCAAGCTTCCCAGAAACACAGACTCCTCCTCGGGGGGCTGGAGAGAGGGCTCAGTGGTCAAAAGCACTGGCTGCTCTTCCAAAGGACCCAGGTTCAATTCCCAGTGCCCACATGGCAGCTCACAACTGTCTGTAACTCCAAGATCTGACACCCCCACACAGACATACATGCAGGCAAAACACCAATGCACATAAAATAACAATAAATAAATTAAAAAATTCCTCCTCTGATAAGATTCCAACACCCTAAGTCATGGCTCATGGATCAGCTGCTGGATTTGGTAAAGGAATTAACTCTAGAGTAGAGATGGCTTGAGATGTGCCATCTAGGCTGAGTGACCATCGGGATGACTTACTGTCATTCTTAGTTTTTCTTTCAAGAGTTGTAATTCTTGCTACAACCATAGACACTTACTCCCCTCTCCCTTACCAAAGATGAAACCCAGGCTCTTCCTTTTGGCCCATTTTTTTTTTTTTTTTTGAAACAAAGTCTCACTATGTAGCTCTGGTTAGCCTAGAAGACACTATGTAGACTAGGCTGGGCTGGAAGTCACAGAGAACTGCCTGCCTCTGCCTCTGAAGTACATAGGTACCACCATACCCGACATTCACCCAAGTTTTTAAGAAAAAGCCACCCTGAAGTGGACCGTATAGCAAGAAACTTTGAATTATCAAAGAAAGGTAAAGGAGGGAGAAGCTTATTACTTATAAAATTTAATCTGTAAGTGACTTATTTAAGCTGTGCTTCTGTCTCTGGGGTTATCCTTGATGGTTCCCTAACATCATATTGCCACAGTCTTCCTATAGAGAAATCAAAATGTATCTAATTATTCGAAAGTCTATTCACAGAGTATGTACAGTATCCGGATACTCTTTCAAGACTGGGGAATGTGGCGAAAATCGGGGCAAAATCCATTTTCTTATCTGAGAGAATGGGAAAGACCAATGAACAAAAAAATAAACTGTGCTGGGCAGCAGTGGCACATGCATGCCTTTAATTTCAGCAATGGGAGGCAGAGCCAGCCAGGCGGATCTCTGAGTTCGAGGCCACCCTGGTCTACAGAGAGAGATCCAGGACAGGAACCAAAACTACACAGAGAAACCCTGTCTTGAAAAAACCAAAAATAAATAAATGAACGAATAAACAAATCACAACCCTGGCATTCAGGGGCCTGAGGCAAGAAAATTGTGAGTACAAAGCAGTCTTGGCTACAGTGAGACAAGGATAAACAAGTAAAAAAATTCATAATAATAATGATAATAATAATGAACCTAAAAGAACAAACAGGTATAGAACTTGTCAGCTACTGATAACTGCTAAGAAGAAAACAAGTTAATGACTGAGACTAAACTGATGATTGCGATAAACGGAGACCAACACTGGTAACTATCTTAATTAAATTAGATGGCCTTAGGAGGGGTTCTCTGACAAGATGATTGATTTAAACCAAATTCTGCCAGAATTCAGGACATAGGTATTTAGGAAGTTTTTGGAAACTCGGCCACCTCTTTGGATGTATGATTTTGTTCTCAGTTGCGCAACTTCTCCGAGCCTAGCCTGTAAAATTCAGAGAAGCTGGGCATCAGACAATGTAAATTATAGTAATTGTTACGGTTTTAGAGTAATTTTATTGTTTATGAATTTATAGATGCAATGCGTCCTCATGCCACACGAGAAAAAGAATGCCAACCCTTCCAGGGGACTTTTAGCCAAAGTTCCTGGCGCCTGTTATTAAAAACGGGATTAGGCCGGGCGTTGGTGGCGCACGCCTTTAATCCCAGCACTCGGGAGGCAGAGCCAGGCGGATCTCTGTGAGTTCGAGGCCAGCCTGGGCTACCAAGTGAGCTCCAGGAAAGGCGCAAAGCTACACAGAGAAACCCTGTCTCGAAAAACCAAAAAAAAAAAAAAAAAAAAAAAACGGGATTAGGACCCTGCACCGGGGCAATCACTGCCTTCTTTGAAAACTCAAAAAGTACACCGCTGTGGGCTTTAGGCAAACACACTGGAGATAATTTTTGCTGTTGTTAATTTGCCACCTCTATTGAGGCACAAATGTGCCAGGCGTGGTCTTAAATATGGAAATATATTCATGGATTTAATCCACGGCTACCCAGCAAATCCTTTATTCTCTCTCTGACAGCGTCTTGGAAGACAGGCCTTATATCAAAGCCCCAGGGCTAACTTCAGACCCAGACAACTGGGACCCCCCCCCGAACTGCCAACGTCAGCGGTCAGCGCGGTGCCTCGCACACGGTAAGAGCCGGACACCTCTCTTAGATGCTTTTGGTGATGATGATGGTCTACCGTCCCCACCCCGAGCCGCGTTTGATTAGTTCAGGGTAGGCAGGCTGTTGGGAGGGGAGTTGGCATGCGCTGGCGCAGCAGCCATCCCAGTGACAAGACTCGCGATCGGTGGAATCAGCTGCTCACCCCTGGGTACGCCCCCTCAGCAGTTTGCGCCGCGGCTGCCTGGAGCGCCCCTTCCAGGCTGGCCCAGTTGGGACCGTCCGCCTCCCCCTCCCGCTCCCGACGCGCATAGTTTCTCCCGTTCTCCGCGTCGCTTCTGGTTCCACGCTCCGAGTCACAAAGCGCGAGGTCACGTGGGCGGGCCGGTGCGCTTTGTGACGCCACGGCCCCGCCCCCGGCCCGCCTATCGGCGCACGCCCAAGCCCCGCCTCGCGTGCGCCGCCCGTGCTGTCTCTGCTTAAGAGACCCCGGAGTGGGGGCGCTCGCCCGAAGCCAGGCCGCGTCCGCCATAGTTCCTGGCGCGGAGGTGTCGCCGGCGCAGGGTGCGGGCCGGAGAGCGGCCTGGGGGGGGGGCAAGAACAAAACAAAAAAAAAAAAAGGAAAGAGGCAATCCAGCGAAGCCCTCGCCGCCGCCCGACCGTTTCCGGGCTTCCCGACGCGGTCGTGGGCTCAGAGGCGACAGGAGCGGGAGCAGCGCGAGGAGCAGCAAGAGGAAGAGTCGGGCAGCCTCGGCAGTGTCCCCGGGGCCTACGAAGCCGTCGGCCGGGGCCCGGGGTGGTGAGGAAGGGGCCTCGCGGCCTAGCTGGGCCCCGCACCGGCTTTGTGTCAGGAGGCGGCGCGGCGGCGCGGCGGCGGGGGGGAGGCGGAGCCGAACCGGGCGGCCGCTGGAAGGCCTCTCCGCCGATCGCGCGATCTCGGCCTAGGCCGCGGGCCGCTCGTGGCCTCCGGGGAGCAGGCGCCAGGGTGTGTGTGCGGTGGGGGCCTGGGCCTGGGGACGCCGACGCCGGTCGTCCGGAAGCCGGGAGGAGGCGAGAGGCCGCTCGTGGACTCCGGGCCTAGGCCCTCTCCCCGCAACCTTCTCCCGGGGCCTGGGTCACCCCCATCCACGGAGAGAGACCTGCCGGGAGGTGCGGCCGCTATGGACCCCTGACCCCGCGGGGTCATTCGGACTCTAACGTGTGGACTGACCGCTACTGACTGCACCGCCTGCCCTGTCTCCTGCCGGCCCTTAGCATGAGCGAGGGGGACCCAGCCGGGTGACATTGTGCCGGTTGGCGGATCCTCGATTGCCCCTTTTCCCGTCCTGCTCCTCCCACATGAAGCGATTCTGAGTACGGGGGGGTTCCGGATTATTGTTCTCACGAACCCCCGCTTGTGGTTGGGGGGTATTTAATTTGAGGCCTTAGGGTCCTTCGTTGTCTTTTGAGTGTTTTGTGTGTGTACATATTTTGCTCTTAAGTTTATAAATATACATATATTGAGAGTGTCCACGTCTCCTCGCTGAACCTTAGGAATCCTTTGCCACAATGTCCTGTGTGCACTATAAATTTTCCTCTAAACTCAACTATGACACCGTCACCTTTGATGGGCTCCATATCTCCCTCTGCGACTTAAAGAAGCAGATTATGGGGAGAGAAAAGCTGAAAGCTGCCGATAGCGATCTGCAGATCACCAACGCGCAGACGAAAGAAGGTAAGAGGCACATGGGCCGCAGATACTTACTGGGTCGAGGTGGGCATTGTAAGTTGCTTGTTAAGCCTTACTTCCGTTCCTATTCGTTGTAATACACAGCATTTCATTGATAGATAAGGATTGCAGCACCCGACCTTGGAGTTTAACTGGCCTGTTTGCCTTCGGAATGCTGGGGTCATCTGTAGCGGGCTAATCCAAAAACGTGTTTAATCTGGTTTTTCTCAGATGTGCTCCCCTCCCTTTACTATATTGAATTTTACCAGTGGGGAGGGATTGAGAAGAGAAAGGGTTGTTATCCAAGTCTGTTGGGTTTTTGCCTTGTGACATTCTCTAACTTGTTTTTTTCGTCAGGAGACGAAGTTTTTTTTCTCATTTGTTAAAGCAGCAGTAGATGTAACTTGTTTGCTAACCTAACACTGACTTGAAGTTAACAGCACATTGCATGCCCCCCTTTTTTTTTTTTTTTTATTTATATGGGGTTGCTTGTAGAAAGGGGGTATTTTTGAGAATTTAATCAGTGTTGGAATCGTTTTTGGAATATTAAATGTTCGATGTGACCACTCTGTGATGTAATGTCACAATTATTGATACTTACTCAAAAGTTGAATTCTGTAGCCCAGACTAAGTTCCAACCCCAACAATCCCTCTGCCTGAGTGTCCCAAGTGTGGAGAATGCAGGTGTTAGACCACACCCAGAAGTAGGTAAACTCTTAGTTCGTCACATTAACTCTTAGCAATTCTGGAAAGCTTCATAGTGCAAGGCCCTGGGTTGGTGTGGGTGTGTATATTATACACACACACACACACACACACACACACACACACACACGTGTATATATATGTAATTAGGTTTCTGAAAAATAGTGGAGTGCTACCATGTGTGAATACAAGTATGCCACTGGTTATAATCCTTGAGTTCTTCATTTTAAAAATAGTACTAGGACTTGTTTTTATTTCTTTTTGAGACAGGGTTTCTCTGTGTAACAGCCTTGGCTGTCCTGGAACTGACTCTGTTTACCAGGCTGGTCTCAGCTCAGATCTGCCTGCCTCTGCCTCCCTAGTGCTGAGATCAAAGGTGTGTACCACCTTGAACTTACCTCTGCCTCCTTAGTGCTGGAATTAAAGGGGTATGACACCACCCCTGCAAAAAAAATAATATTGGGACTTGAATGGTGGATGTATCTTCTGACTCTGAACTTGTTTTGGTTTCTTTTTCTCAGAATAGTAATGCAGATGGGTGGTTTTAGTAGATCAGACTTCTGACATTTACTGATAAGAAAGTGGGGTTGTTTTGTTTGTGACATGGTCTTACTATGTAACCCTCATTGGCCTGGACTTCTGCACATAGATCAAGCTTTCCTCTGGCTCACAGGAATCAACTTGCCTCTGCCTCCTGAGTGCTGGGATTAAAGGTGTGCTCCACCAAGCTAAATTTGATATAAGGTGTGGCATGGGTTTTTTTAGTTAAAGGTTTGGGGGATGGTCTCATCTTATTAGCCTGTAGTTGTTAGGTAGACCAAATCTTGTCATGTAGAATATCAGTTTTTCATTTGTAATGCAGACATGCATTATTATAATGCCAAAAGAATATTGTCTACTTCCTTCCCTTTGGGTAATTGTATTTTTCTGTAATTTCTCTCTACTTTGGAAGAGGAAAGGTGTTCATGGCAATAAACAGCTAAGAAGTCCACCAAAGCAGCCAAAGTATTGAAGTCTGCTTTACCAAACACATGGCTTTTTAAGAATTATTAGCCGGGCTGTGGTGGTGCACGCCTTTAATCCCAGCCCTGGGGAGGCAGAGCCAGGCGGATCTCTGTGAGTTCGAGGCCAGCCTGGGCTACCGAGTGAGATCCAGGACAGGCGACAAAGAGAAACCCTGTCTCGAAAAACCAAAAAAAAAAAAAAAGAATTATTGGCTGCATTGCTATATAAATGCATCTTTATGAATGAGAGGAAAGATGAAATTAGGGATATTAGCCACTTACAATTATCATCTATATAGGTTTTATTTTTATTACAGTATAGTAGGGTTGAATCACTTAAAACTAGGCTTTATCCATCTTGCTACCAACCAACAGTTAAAGGCAGCTTTTAGACGAGTAAGTTGTGATTTAAGAATTCTTGTCCACAAATTGACATTTTGTGACTTTGTATTTTTTTCTAGTTTAGGACATATAATCCACAACCTGAAATGCAGGGAAGTTATTTGCCCCACAGCATGTTTTCTTCTTATTCTGCCCTTAACTGGAGAAAGTTTGATGTTAGGGTCGTTAAGAAAGAGTTGTGGGAGCTTTCTTTGTTTTATGCACTCACTCAGATTCGGGGGGAGGGTTAATAGTGGAACAGAAACTTACAGAGCTGGAGAGATGGTTCTGGCTGTCAAGAGTGCTTACTGCCCTTGCAGAGGAACCCACTTCTGTTGCCAGGGCCCACATGGTAATTCAAAACTCAAAACTCGGAACTTCAGTTCTGAGATCTGAAGCCCTCTGGCTCCAAAGGCACCAGGCACCACGCACCAGGCATGCTGATAGGGTACAGACATGGACCCAGCTTGACAAGGCAGTTGAGTGAGAATTCTACTTGGTTTAGAACCATCTAGTGAATTAAAGGTTGCAAAATAAATGCTTACTAAGAGTTTCTTAGCGAGTACCCGGATTTTAGACCTTCTCAAGAAGAAAGATTAAAGTGGATGATTTTTAGTAAGTTTAAATTACTGATCTTCATTGTTTCTGTAAAACATTCCTTAGTTCTGGAAATCTGTCAGGTATCAAGGACCATAAACCTTTGGTAAAACTAAAATGTTTGTGTCAAAGTTTTGTTTAGGACTTAAGCCTGCGTGTTTCTAGACTGTTATTTTACAATGAATTCCAAATGATCTTTGGAGAAAACTTTTGTTTTTATACTGATCCTCCCATTCACCTGGTAACCTTCATACTAAATGAACTTGATTGATTTGGAAGATGAATATGAGGGATTTTCTTATTTGTTTTTATCCTTATTCTGGCTGTCCATTCCTTACATTCATCTTTTTCAATCCATCCATGACTTTTCTGTTTTTGGATAAAATTCATACTGGTAAGCCTTTTTTTCTCAGAGAGCTGAGGCAAATGCTCTACCACTGAACTAAATCTCCATCCCCTGAGCCTTTTGAATCTAAGGGAACTGCTTTTTAAGGAGTTAAGTTTCAGACTCTCTTGGGCTTAGGAAACCATCATAAATGCAAATCCTTAATTGGACAGCTAGAACCCTGTATTTGAGGGTATTGGAGCACCTGGCTTTAGTACTATAATACAGCACTGTGTTGATCAAATTCAGTTGTCTTTGTTTATATATGAGATTTTGTATGGAAGATTAGCCTTGAACTCAGTGGCAATCCCCTTGCCTCAGACTCCTTAGTGCTGGAAATGTAGGCTTGTCACCACCCCACCTCACTAATAAGTTGTTTTTTTTAAAGGTTTTGTGAATACACTTAAGGTTTGTAAGATGTAAAGAGACAGCTAAATGTTTGACACTTGGGTTCTAGAATTGTTAAACTTATTAAAAATCCCCCAATTTCCTGCTTCTGATTTTTCTTACTCATCTTTCTTGGAATTTGGGGACTGTCCAAGATAATGATAGCCTTACATACATGCCTACATTTAGGAAATTGCATCACTCTTGATTGGATGCCTGTGAGACATAGTCAACAACTGAAAACACTAAAGAACTCTTGGTTGGGCAGTTTACTGTAGAAAAGGAATATTAAATTTGTGTTAGGTACCTTAAGTGAAGCAAGTGAACCCTGGCCCAGCCGTGGTAACACAAGTCTTTAATCCCAGCACTGAGGAGGCAGAAGCAAGTAGATCTCTGAGTTCCAGGCCAGCCTGTTCTATGAGTTTCAGAATAGCTAGGAAACATAGTTACACAAAGAAACCCTGTCTCAAAAAACAAAACAAAGAAAAAGAAAAATGAACCCTGGTCTTGTTTTGTGGGATTGAGGGAGATTTTTGCATCTCTTAAATTGTGTATGTGTGTGTTTAACTTGATAATTTTACTCCTTCCTTCCTTCCTTAAACTCTTACTACACTTAAACTCTTATTACACTTAAGGCCCCCTTAATTTCATTCTTACACAACTATTGTAATTATAGAGTAGAAAAATGGCACTCATTTCTCCTCTCAGTCTTCTTAAAAAGTGACGTCTGTTTGCTAAAAAGCAAGAAACCTAGAATTCATGCCTGTTCTTCCTCCATTTTTGCAATACTGGGTCCGTGAGTGTCTAATGCTGGCTATCACCAGAGAGGCCGTCTTCTTACTTACGACAAACTGTTTCTGTTCAGTTTGTCTCCCATGTAGATGCTAGAACAAGTCTTTTTATGACATAAATTGTCATTGCTTCTCAGAAAATGCACCAGTGATTTCTCTTTTTTACCTGGAAACAAAGTATAAATCAGTATATGGTTTATACTTTCCTACCTTATTTAATGTAATTCTTTAATTTTCTTCAACATTTCAGTCGTCTCTGTGTCATTTATTTTTCCTCACATTGTTCCCCCTCTGAGTAAATGCTATTCATTTAGGTTTTGAGTGTGT